CATAGCAGCGAACCGACAACAATGGCGATCTTGCTGTCACTTCTTATCAGACCAGAATGCTTGAAGTAGTATGTATGCACAGTTGGACTGTGTACTCTGTGTGTTGACCATATAGGTTCGCTTTCTATTCTCGTCCCTAGATATAGACCCAATCCCCATCCTCCTTACACATTCTCATTCACTTTGCATGCATTATGAGTTTGGCAGTGATCGGTGATTAGGCTTGTCCAAATTTGATTCTACGAGAAGACGCTTGGTTTTGTGCAGAATGATTAGTGAAGCTGCGTGAAATGATTTGTGGGTTGTTTGTTCTATGCGTCGCTGGAAACGTCTGTCATTTTCGTTTCCTTCAAACGGGATGGTCAAGTAAACTTTCTTTTTAGGAGCATTGGGTATTTTATGCTTAACTGTTGTGTCTCCCGCGTACTTTTTGTTAGACTTCGAAGGGTATCCATTTTCGGGTAGAGTCGACTGAATTGAAAGATTATCGTCCAAGGACTCTTCTGAACAAATTCAATAAGCTTGTATGAAGAGATTACGAATAAGTACACGCTTGTAATTTATAGGACAGAAACTTTCGAAATTCAAATACTGAACAGTCCATGTCGGCTTATGAAACACGGGGTGGTTCAGTGTACCATCTTCTCTGATCCGTGCTCGACTGTAAACTCAAGATCCTTGTGGTAACTGTTCATGTCCTCCAACAGTTGACTTACTTGATCATTGTTGTCAACAGTGCAGTGTCATCAACATATCGGGTACATAGCTGAGTTTTATGTATGGAATCATGAAGTTTGATGGTCTCTAAATGCCCCATAAATATATCAGCTAACACGGGTCCAAGTGGGCTATCCATTACCACACCATATGTTTGTTTGTATAACTTTCCATTGAATGATAACTACGTTTTTTGTGCATAACAAAAACAGAAAAATTAAGTAGATCTGATGGGAAATTTACTTCATGGGCATGTTGGCACAACTATGTCAATGGTCGCTTCGATTGAGACATTAGTAAAAAGAGAACAAACATAATAGGAAACCATGTGTTTACCGGAGACATTAAGATTCCGAACTTTTTCCACGAACTCAAAGGAGTCTTTTAAACTGTAAATTGATAGTTTGTCACGAATCGGCTTGATTAACTTCTGTAGCCAACGAGCCAGCTTCTGATGCGGTGCACCAACCGTCGATGAAATTGGCCATAGTGAAACGGCATCCTTATGAATCTTTGGGAGACCGTAAAGACGGGAAAGACATAACCCACGAGGCTTCAACGAAAATGCAGTTCTGGTATCGATCAAGTCTTCTAAAACCATTTGTTTTATATGCTTGTTACTTTCTGTTCGACGTTTGCGGTTTTATCACGTTTCGAGTTTTCCACTGCCAAACGGGCACCATTCTGGAGAATAGACAGCATCTTCGCGATGTAATCTTGCCTGTTCAACAGGACTGCACCTGATCTTTTATCCGGCCTTAGGATGACAACATCCTCATTTCGACGAAGTTCCCGGAANCCGGAAAGAATTCCAGTGGATTTTGGATATTGTACAGTATTTATCAGTCCGAGCAACGGAAACCTGGGTGGTAAGATCGACAACAGGAGCTCTAGACCAACTACATGAATCTGTAGAAATGGGCTCCAGATCAGATAATTGTTTGTAAAAATACTCAAACTGAGCTTCCATTTCAACTCTGTCAGATCTGGTAAAGGAAACGCAGAAGTTAAAGCCTAAAGATAAAGCTTCTAACTGTACAGATGAGGCCGTGACATTGGACAGATTCATGACGTACCGTTCCGGATCACGCGGGCTAAGTTCGCTTAGAGGTGTAGGACATAAGGATCTCATGACTTATCCTTTCGACTTCAGTTTTGTTCTCTCTTGTAACACGCAAATGAGGTTGAAAAACTTCATGCGCACACACAATATAGGTCCTACAAAATCTTACTGAATTGATGACAAGATACACGTGTTTCAACAATGTACTGTTTCGAGACTTCACTATGTGATTTGGTCACTCGGCGCAAATTTCTACGGATGACTGGCAGTTTGTTCCTGCGCAATGATTTCACAGATTGATGAGGAAACAGATGTCCGCAAAAATTCATAATATTCATCCAAACGTGCAGTCTCACGAGCCACCGAACAACGTAAATCCACAAGGGCCTTCAAAGAACGCATAGCCCCTGGTGGGAGGCGCTGTTTTAGAAATTTCATACATCCAGTTCTCTTAACAAATTTCACCACGGCGAGGAGGAATCACATTTTCAGCTGGAACTAAGTTACCCGGGGGCATGTTACATTCTGAAAGGAGGCAAATGGGTCCCGACTGTGCATCAAAAATAAAGAATTAAGCGGGGTTTGAGGTATCTGAACAGTACCCTGTTTTTCACTACCCACTCTACTGAATACCACAGGTAGCACGGTCCAAATCATCTTGCACGAATACCGATGCACTATGGAATTCGTTTATAGTTTTTGTATTCTTTTGAGCTTAATGATAGGCGGTGGTGGTCAAGTGGTTCAGAGCATCGAATTATTGACCCAGAAGTCCTGGTTCGAACCGCCCCATCGCTATCCATCTTCCCCATTTATTTATTTTCCCAGGTCGCCTTTGTATGGCCGAGACCCCCTTTCTGAAAGTTGACTGTAAATTTCTATATTTAATAAAATAAAAAAAGGAAGTAAAAGGATATTTGTTTATTTTATTATTTATGGAGTCCAAACACTAATTAGGAGGCCGATTACAGTTATCAACCAAAGTCTAGTTCTGGCGAAAACCTAACCACAAGACAGTGTATGAGGCTAAGTAAAGGCCTATCAACTTGCGTCAAGTATTCGAATCGAACCACCAGCCTGGAGCATAAAGAGATGATTCCATCTGTCAAACGCGAATCGATTTCCGGCTTGATAGAAGTCATGCTGTGTATCTCGTTGGGTCACCGAGAGGCGCTTCACCACAGCATGCCAGGGTGCAGTCTCTTCGTGATTACAAGCCATCTTCACTTAGTGGCT